ACACTAGAGTTGCCTAAGAGGAGGAGCAGAAGGCCCTTGGAGTGTCAGGAGATTATTGTGCAGTAATGGGGAAAAAAAATCTGTGGTGAAATTGGTTAGGAGCGTAATAGGAGACTAAAGTGACTTACATGTCCCAAATAGTACCATGCAGAAGTAAATACCTGCCTGTGGGGTCCTCTATGTCCAGGGCACAGGTGATTTGAAAAGCTATCAAAACACCCCAGCGTTTCTCTGGGGCTGAAGCTGTGTAAAAAGTAGGATAGTGAGGTGAGAGATACTGTGGGGTGGAGTACTGAGCAAATCTGGTCTCCTGCAGGCAAACCACATCAATTTGTTGTGATTTAATGTGGTGAAAAACTTTGCACTGCTTAAGAGGTGAGTTGTTGCCATGGATGTTTTGAGAGTGAATTTTCAAAGGGGAAGTGGCCATGGTGGGGCAGGGATGAGCTGCTCAGCAGCAAAAGCAAAGGTCAGCCAACATACTATACTCAAATGGACGATTGGTCCAAGATGTCCAGAAGCTCTGAAAAAAAGGAGAAAAAGTAAAAAGGAAGAGCAAGACAGAGAAAAAAGGAGTAAAGAAAACAAGTCAATGTTAACACACCAATGGTGAATTGCATCCTGCACACGTAGGATACCAGCTGTGGGTGGCTCTGCCAAGGGACACATGGCTGCTAATGGATACATCAACATTTTTGCCCCCAGGGGACAAAAATTTTGAAACTCAGAAAAGCCATCAGACATAAACAAAGGACTCAGCCCTCAGCCCAACACTACAGTAGGTATACCACGAAACTAAGGGCAGGTAAAAAATAGTGGAAGGGTACAGTGGAAGGGAAGGTGCAGAACATAGGGAAAGGGAGTAAGCGGAGAGAAGGGAGGCAGGGAAAAGGGGTTATGGGGGGATGCACAAAGGGTAAAACAATGGGTAAACAATAATGCACAGCAGAGGCGATTTCCCCCAACCCCACACAACAGGGCCCCAAAAGGAGCCAGTTGCCGGGGCACCAGGGACACACCACACCCGATCATCTTCAGCCGGGCCCCAAGGACCTTTGAGACAATCAACCACACATAGATATGGGAGCAACTTCGGCTCTGAGGACTGTAGGTCATTCATACAAACATAAAATTTGAAACATCAAGTCCAGTCATGAACAGCAGGCTTCCCCCGACCCAGGGAAGACTCCACCAGTACCAATCGGTTCAAGAAGCTGTCAAACAGAAGCAACAGGGAATGTATCAACCCCTTGGCTGCAGGCGGACCCGCACAGGGACTGGAACCCATGCAGGCAGGGACCCGAGTGTGACCAGTCCATGAACATAAAGTGGGCCTCTGGTAGAAGGAAGAGGAGGGTGAAACTCCCAATGCCAGCAATATGTTCCACTGTGAAAGTGCGGAAGAAGTCCAATAATGGTATCAGTCTGGAGAGGAGTGCGCAGGACTGGAACGCAGAGTGGTCTGAGGAAGGGAGTGTTTTCGGCTGGATACCTTCTCCCAGAGGTGCCTAAGTTGAGAAGAAGCCAATGGAGATCCAGAAGGGCACTCTGGGCACTGTGCAACGTTTCCCACTGGTAAAAGGTTTAAGGATTCCAGAATAACTTTTGCTTCCTCTGGAGTAGTGATAGAGTGGCTGTGGCCTTGATAATCAAAGGAGAGTTGAAAGGGGAAGCCCCACGCATATTTGATACACCGATTCACCAAAATGGAGGTGAAAGACCTCAGATGGCAGCATTTCTGAAGAGTGATCTGGGAAAGGTCAGAAAAAAGCTGATAGGGATGTCTCTGAAAGCTGAGCTCTGGCTTATTTCTGGCCGCTATGAGGAGCATCTCCTTGGTACAATAATATGTAAATTTGATAATGTCCCTTGGGGGCCCATCAGGCTGTTTCGGTCCCAAGGCCCTTTGTATATGGACAAACTCGAGCTGGTCTATGGGGATAGCAGGAACCAGCTCTTAAAATAAGGCTGTGGCAGTAGAAGTGAGATCTGTGACGGTTTTCGGAATACCTCTCGGGCGTAGATTGCCACGGTGAGAACGGTTCTCGAAGTCCTTAAGCCGTAGTAACGTATCTGCCAGTTCCTTCTTAAGGGTGGCCAAATCTTGCTGATGAATTTCAATTACTGTAGCCACTGCAACCATCTTGTCCTCAATGTCATTCGTGCGGTTTCCTAGCTCCCGGATCTCCCTGGTGAGACGTTCTGCAAGCCAAGAGGTAGCGGTGGATAATTCTGTAGCATGGTTTTGAAGCAGCTCAGAAGCTCAGCATTCCTTCAGGAGGGGGCGGGGGGCAGCAGTGGGGTGTCCTGTCAGAGGTAGGATCCGGATGCCCTGCGTACAGCAGCGTCAGCAGCTTTAAACTCGAGACCGAGGCTTCAGGGGAGTCCGCCGGTGGGTAGACCAAATTCTGGCGCAGCCTGGAGGCACGTTTATAAAACACTGTTTTTTTATAAACACAAGATTTTAGCTTGTGCTGGTGGTCAGTGGAACTTTGCCCCCTTGTGCTGGTGGTCAGTGGAACTTTGCCCCCTTGTGCTGGTGGTCATTGGGTTGTTTTTTCTAATCTTAAACCTCAGTATTCAAGTTTAATTGCAGTGTTGTAACTTTGCGATAAATAAGTGGGTTTTGGGTTGCAGTTTGGGCACTTGGTCTCTAAAAGGTTTGCCATCACTGCCCTAGATAAAATATCACAGTTTGTAAGGCTGAATAAAGACGCCAGTCCATCCAGTTAAACCTGTGTGGGTGGGTGTGTGCTCATGTCAAAAACTCATATCCCATATCTCCTGTATATAGTTATCAGTAAGATGCCCATCCAAGAGGTGTTTTTTTTTTTTTTTTTGGAAACGATTGATACTTCCCACTGACACCACCGATTGTGGAAGGGAGTTCTACATCCTTACTGTCCTGACAGTGAAAAATGCCCTACGCAGTTTAAGGCTAAACCACTTCTCCAATTTCATTGAGTGGCCCCATGTCTCATATTCCCTGAGATTCCTGAATAGTATTTTATTCAATATATATGCCTCCAATTTGTATTGAAATCGACATTTTCATGAGTAGTGACACAAACCCTTGTATGCGTGCATTTTACATTCGTGCCCTTGTGCGTGCTTTTATATGTGGTATATGTGGGAGGGGGGGATTTTATGTGCTTGGGTGTAACTTATCTTTTATCATTTAAAACATTCTCTTTTATCTTACCATTTTTTTATTCATCACATAGGGGGCAAAGTCCCCTATGTGATGATTTTTGGGTGACAGGTTCTCTTTTAGACCCTTTGTCTCTTCCCTGTGTTCCAGTGAATGAAATTCAATGCAGATCACATTACAAAACATTCTCTCCAAGCCTTTCTGACTAATTAAACTGACATGGGGATCCGGAAGTGATGTTTTACACATCCCTTCCGGGTCAGCAACAAGAAGGGGGGAAGAGAGGCTGTGTGGCTGCTTTGCTCCCTCCCCTCTACATGGTGGCATCCGCTATACCGGTCCTGGGCATGGCAAGTGGAGCCCAGGATACATGGCGGGGACACGGTTACCTTGATGTGTAGAAGCAATAAGGCGGCAGTGCAGCCACCCAAATGCTTCCATCTGACATGCAGGAGTCTGCTTCTCAGATGTACACAGCCACAGTGTGGCACAGTGTGTGTAAAACCCCCCCCCCCCCCCCCCCCACTTGTCAGGTCCACACAATGTACGAACCTGGCAGTGAAAGGGTTAAAGCCTTTGTTTGTCCTTTTATGTCAGTAAGGCCATTACATGAACATCTAGTGTGATGCTGGTGTTTAGTCCATTTTGGACATGTGAAGATCGTCTTTTTTTCTTTTTTTTTTTTTTTTTTTTTCCTCCCCCCCAAATACTTTTTTTTATTAAAGTTTTCAACAATTTACAATTCAAAAAACCGAACTAAGTGGAACAGCCCACACACTGGTCGTCCATTTCCCACATAAGACAGCAATATCCTCATTTGCACATGGATATGGTAAGGTTAAAGTTAGAAACGGTATCAAAACAGTGTTCCTTTGTAATCCCTGGTATCATAGTGCAATAAAACATGTTGTAATCATAGTACCTTTCTAACCTAGGTTGCTTATTCTTATATTGGGGTAAAATGTACAACAAACAATTGTAACCTAACTCGGTAAATTACCCACATCACGTGTTGCTCATATGTAAGTTGTCTTGCTTCATTACGGGTCCCTTTATCACTAACTGTGCCATATGAGTTTGGTATTGTGATAGCTAAATATCTCTCAGTAGGGGTCACTTAACATTGTAATATACTCAGGGATACAAGAGCTAAAGGGGGAAAACTTGGAGTCTGAAGCGAAGGTTCTCAGATCCTATCAGATTTAGAGGGAATCCCCGTCTCATAATTTCTCTTTCAACAAGGTAGAATTAACATTTGTTCGCCATTCCTCAAATGTAGGGGGTGCAGGTGCAAGCCACTTCAGCAAAATGCATTTACCTGCCAGGAACAGAAGTCTAGTCATAGCGGTTCTGACCTGGGGAGTATATAATTCCTCGTCCAGAAACCCTATTATGCATGCAACTGGATCTTTTAGGTAGCATCACTTGGAAGGCTCGGTTGATGTTATCCAGCACAATACTCCAGTACCGTACCAGCTTGGGACATTTCCAAAACATGCAGATGGTCTGCCTGAGCCTCCCCACAGTGAGGACAGTTCGGGGTTTCTCTACAATGCCATTTAAACAGCTTGTGGAGTGTTCTATAAGATCTTTGTGTAAGGAAAAGTTGAGATAGGTCTCTGTTTAGGAGAAATAGATACCAAAAGGACCTGTTCTAGGGTCGAATTCCAATCTTAAGGATAAACATTCTAGTGTGCATAGTAATAAGAAGGCTTGGTTTTTATAATCAGTTTTTTTTTGTTGTATTTTTTTTTTTTTTTTTTTTTTTTTTTTTTATTGAAAGTATTCTGTATGCTGTGTTCTTGCTTTTGTGTCTAATGTTGGGCTTTTTTTTTTTTTCTCCTTTAAGACCTCATCATCTTGCCCTGTTGACCGCAAACCTTTTCAAACCGTGTATAAAATAGATCCGGTTGGCAGATGCACCAAGGTAAGATTTTTTTATTTTTTTTTTCCGTTGGTTATAATGCCTAAGCTAATGTGATATGTAAGTACACCCCCTAGAAATTGTTGAGTTTTTCAACATATTAGACAAGGTTAACATTAAATCTGCATTCAAGGAGTGCCTTGTAAATCCATATTTATAATGGAGAAAAAGCACAACCACCATCTTTACAACCACATCCAATCCATAAATTTAGCTTTAGGTGTTCCAGATTAGGTGCCAGTGGGTAACACCCTCCTTAGGCAGTATGCAATTAAAACTTGTCCTTTTTTAAACTTCAGATATCTAGGGTCTAATTTTCTCTTTATGGTGTCAATATGCCCAGATAAAAAGTTCCTTTAAGGCCCTTAGAAAAAAAAATGTGAATGCCTATGAGTTTGGTAAGGGATTTAAAATGATCACAAAATTATTTGAAATCATTCCACTCCAAGGTAAATAATCTACATGTGGTAAATAATTACTGATTTGTCTGGTACTGACCAGCCCAGCAGATTTAGCAGACTGATGCTAGGTTTCCAAGAACCCCAAACTTTAAAGAAATCTGCAGGTAGTTGGTGTCAAAGTGCATGCTTCTACAGTCCCACATTGTACACCTGTGTGAGTGGTTTACGCAAAAGCCTTTGCTGTCTAAAAACATTAGAGCAAGTCTACATTGCCATTGAATAAACTGCATATAGGCAAAGACCAAGCCTTCTGGAACAATGTGTTGTGAACTGATAACTCAGTTATTTGGCCATAGTAACAGGAAACCTATTTTGTACAAATGGAATAAAGCATTCTTGGACATTGTGAGGCCACGTGTTCGATAGTTGAGGCAAAAATGGATGTTTTAACACAGTAGCGATCTAAAAGAACACTAGCAAATCCACCAAGAAATGTCTCAAAAAGAAGAAAATTATGATATGGATAAATCATATTGAAATGATTGGGGTGGATTTGAAATGGGCAGTTCATGAAAGGAAACCTACAAAAATCTTGCTATTGAATAAAATTGGCATGTCAGACTGGCTGGCAGTTATGCAATAAGCCTACAAGAAACCAAATCTACTACAGGGAGCAATATTAACTTCTAAGGCCGAGGGTGTGCTTACTGTGTCCACAGTACACCATTAATGATTGGCACGGTTTCTTTTTTTTTTTTGGGTGTAATCACTTTTTTATAAGACTGTGTATTTTTTTTTTTTTTTTATACACGCGCACACACCTCAACAAAATTAAAGGAACACTTTGAAAACACATCAGATCTCAATGGGGAAAATATTATGCTGGATATCTATACTGATATGGACTGGGTAATGTGTTAGGAACACAAGTATGCCCCATCGTTTGATGAAAATTAAAATGGTCAACCTACAGAGGACTGAATTCAAAGACACCCCGAAAATCAAAGTGAAAAAATGATGCAGCAGGCTAGTCCATTTTGCTGAATTTTCATTGCAGCAACTCAAAATGGTACTCGGTAGTTTATATGGCCCCCACCTTGTATGCATGCCTGACAACATCTGGGCATGCTCCTAATGAGATGACGGATGGTGTCTTTGGATATTTCCTCCCAGATCCAGACCAGGGCATCACTGAGCTCCTGGACAGTCTGAGGTGCAACTTGACTGTATTGGATGGACCGAAACATTATATCCCAGAGGTGTTCTATTGGATTAAGGTCAGGCGAGCATGGGGGCCATTCAATGGTATCAATTCTTTCATCCAGGAACTGCCTGCATTCTCTCACATGAGGTCGGGCATTGCCGTACACCAGGAGGAACCCAGGCCCACTGCACCAACGTATAGTCTGAGAATGGGTCCAAGGATTTAATCCAGATACCTAATGTATGAGGGTGCCATTGTCTAGCCTGTGGAAGTCTGTGCATCCCTCCATGGATACACCTCCCCAGGCCATCACTGACCCACCACCAAAACGGTCATGCTGAACGATGTTACGGGCAGCATAACGTTCTCCATGGATTCTCCATACCCTTTTACGTCTGTCACATGTGCTCAGGGTGAACCTGCTCTCATCTGTGAAAAGCACCATGGTACCAGTGGCAGAACTACCAGTTCTGGTGCTCAATGGCAAATGCCAGTCGAGCACTGTGGTGCCAGGTACTGAGCACGATGCCCACTAGACTGTCAGGCCCTCAGGCCACCCTCATGAAGTCTGTTTCTGATTGTTTGGTCAGAAACATTCACACCAGTGGTCTGCTGGAGGTCATTTTGTAGGGCTCTGGCAGTGCTCATCCTGTTCCTCCACAAAGGAGCAGATACCAGTCCTGCAGATGGGTTAAAGACCTTCTACAGCCCTGTCCAGCTCTCCTAGAGTAACTGCCATTCTCCTGGAATCTCCTCCATGCTCTTGAGATTGTGCTGGGAGACAGAGCAAACCTGGCAATGGTACGTATTGATGTGCCATCCTGGAGGAGTTGGACTATCTGTGCAACCTCTGTAGTGTCCAGGTATCACCTCATGCTACCAGTAGTGACACCTACCCTAGCAAAATGAAAAACTAGTGAAAAACCAAGAAGATGAGTAGGGAAAAAATGTAAGTGGCATCCACCTGTAAAACCATTTCTGTTTTTGGGATCGTCTCACTGTTGCCAATCGAGTGCACCTGTGTTAATTTCATTAACACCAAATCAGCTGAAACTGATTATCAACCACCTCTGCTACTTAACTGACCAGATCAATATCTCAGGAGTTTAATTGACTTGATGCTATACTCTGATTAAAACGTGTTCCTTCAATTTTTTTGAGCAGTGTATATATACACTTTCATTTCTGCAACTTTCTGCATTCCCTTGGTTGAATTTTTTTTTTTTTAATTTTATGCATTAAACATATACATGTGATATATAGCTCTTCAAGTTTGGTGCATTTTGAGAGTGCATATAGGCGTGGCGTGTTGTGGGTTTTTTTTTTTTTTGTTTTTTTTTGTTTTTTTTAATTTTATAGTCACTGTGACAGTTCTCTGTATTTCAACCCCTAAAGATCCATGTCGCGGCAAGAAGACAAAGAGAAAACTGCAGCTGCAACCTGTGCCAGTGGTGCTGTACAAAAGGGAAGATATGCTTTAGGTCAGTGAATACAAAGATGTCATTTTTGTAGTAGAAATAAAAGTGGCCACTTATATTCAATAATTTATAATAGCAATCTATTTATCAACAAATGAATTGGAGAATGTGCAAAGTTGTGACTAATCTAGTGGTGCACCGAAATGAACATTCTGGTGCTGAAACTGATACCGAAAATTCAGAATGCATGTGACTGAAAGCCGAACAGAAATGTATGTGGGGGTGGTGAGGCTCCAATTTTTTTTTTTTTCTACTTTCATGTATATTTTTATTTTTTTTTTTTAACTTATGATTTTATTGCTACCACATAGTGGAGCAATAGTCCCCTATATGATAACATATGAGTGACAGGTCCTCTTTGTAGGGGGTGGGGAGAGGAGCAGTGGAGGGGGTAGAAGAGGAGCAGTGTATACAGAGAGGCTCCCTCACTGGCTGTCACTATATGTCGATGCCAATTTTTAAATGCAATTGCCAGCTTTTTTTTCCCCTTCATTATAGCTCACAGAATTAGCTGTCATTTTCCCCAGAGCTAAAGGAAACGTTTTTGTTTTATCTCAGGAAAGAAACTAAAAGGAAAACTTTGTTTCTTTTAGCTGGGGGAAAGTGGCAGCTGATTCTGTGAGCTATAGTGAAGAAAAAAAATATCTGGTAATTACATTTAAAAACTGCACTGACACATAGTGACATCTCCTGCCTTTCTCCACCCTAGTTTTTATATAGTTAGCCTGGTTTAAAAAAAGACACAGGTCCATCGAGCTCAATCCCACACATTGTTTTCTATTTGTGTGTGTGTAACCCTTTCTCTTGTTTTCATATATAGGTGCACCAGGCGCTTGGTCATGTTCATATGGGTTTGGGGTTAGGAGGCTGTAAACTTTAACTTTAATTTTTTTAAACTTATTTTTTGCTTATTACTTTCATATGGGGGGCTGAAAATCCACTTAAGCGATAGCACAATGGATGTGACCGATTCTCTTTAGTGAGACATTGCAGGTCTTTAAGACCCCTGCACTTCATTGAAGGTAATCAAGCACAGAGCTTGCTTTACTAGCTTCTTCCCTAGCCAAAGCAGCCAGGGAATGGTAGCGCTAAAACCTGGGGGGGGGGGGGGTCGGGGAGTATGCTTGATTGTTACTTATAACTTCATTCACTGCAAGGATGATCGGTGAAAGGATGTTCTGGACACCAGCTGTGGACATCCTAGGTGCCCATGCGGGGAAGCAGAGCTTGGGTTACATGGCAGTGGTGATGGAAGTTTTCGGGTGGCTGCAAATCACTTCCAGCCAACAGTCCGCTAATGCAGTGTTCACACACTCTGGGCTGCTATAGTATGCGGTTTAACTTGTGTAAATACTGCCTCTGCTGTTGACACGAGCCATGCATTGGTGAAAGTGAAAGGATTAAAGTGTGGTATTTTGATTCCTTTTGTAGTTCAATTGTTTTATTGATATTGCAAGAGTGGAGATGTGAAAAACTGGAAAACACAAGCAGGGGTGAAAACATCTGTAGAAACAGTTCCTAAAAAAAGATAACAAAGATAACAGAATTAACAAATAGATTCAGCCTCCCAAGAGACAGACTGCTCGCACCATAATTAGTAGTCTGCAGGTAAAGTAGTTGCTTCAGGGGGCTGCAGAACTCAGATGAAAGGAATAAGGGCAAAGTAGGAGAGTAAGAAAAGGTGAAATGGGAGTTGGTGAACTAAAGAGGTTAAAGAAGAATCCCCACAAACTAGAGACCCTGCCCAAATAGAAGAGTAAAGATAGGACAGGACTGCAGGTTGTAGAGTAGTAATTATCCATGGTTCCCATATCTTTTAAAAATTTGGGTTGTGAATCCCTAGTGGCATTTCACTCTCACAATCAACATTGACTATTTTGAATCCTTATGCTGCTAGCATTAGTAAATAGATTGGAAAGTATATCATATTTGCTTGTTTTTAAATTATTTTTTTTTTTTTTCTTTACATTTCTTTAGTTATCTCCATACAGTGGATATAAAAAGTCTACACACCCCTGTTAAAATGTCAGGTTTCTGTGATGTAAAAAAATGAGACAAAGATAAATCATTTCAGAACTCTTTCCACCTTAAATGTAACCTATAAACTGTACAACTCAGTTGAACAACAAACTGAAATCTTTTAGGTGGAGGAAAGTAAGAATAAAAAACTAAAATAATATGGTTGCATAAGTGTGCACACCCTCTGTCAGATTACGAGGAAAGGAGGGAAAATTCCTGATTGTAAGCCACCATCCCCAAAATAACAATTAGATAAAGGAGGGACCCCTAGGACTTGGGACTTTGAAGGCTTAAATAGTACTAAAAATATATAAAAAAAAAAATGTATTTGTGAAAAATTGACACAGACATGCAATACAGAGTACAGCATCGAAACCAGAATATGAATTTACATAAGGATACCCAGTATGACTATGTTTGACTAGCCATAGAGGATATGAATTATGGTATCATCATTGATGTACAAAAACTGCAGCGACACTATTCTAATTGTTCCAACGCGTTTCGGAGTGGTTCCACTCCTTCCTCAGGGAAAAGAGAGAAGAACTCTGCATATGAATGACATCATACATGAAAGTGCAAAAAGAATGGTTTATTAAAAGACATGCTTCAAAATGTCGCCTCGTATGACTAGGGGCCGACCGAACCCAGACAGCCGAAACCTCCAGAAAAAGGCCTCGAATCACAAGGGCACATACCAGGTCACATGAAGTGTATAAGCCTCCAAATCAGCACACACCACTTCTTAGTTGTATTCGAAGGAATATAATCCAAAGGCTATCAAGGGAGACACCCCGAGAAAGAAAAAGGGAGGATATACAGATCACTATGGCCACACCACAGGACACATGAAGTATCTCAATGTCCAGGACGAATTATTCTCGTATTATCGTATTGGCACAATAGGTATAATATAGGGCTTCAAAGGCAGATATGCCCAAATGGGGATACGGATCACTAAGGACACACCACGGAACGCTGCAAAAATGATATGGAGTGTCTCGATATCCAGATCTTATTGTACTTCCTCTTCGTATTAGCACAAGAATATGGCACTTCAAAGACAAATATATCCAATTGGGGATACAGATATCTACGGCCACACCACGGGACACATGGAATATCTCAATATCCAGATTTTATTGCATTTTCTCTTTATATTAACACAGTAAATATTGTATAGGGCTTAGAAGACAAATATGTCCAATTCCATCATTCATCCCATCAATATTACAAAGAGCCCTGGGTACAGTGCTCTCTCATATGCAGGAACAACCTGCGGCGTTGCAAGAAACAGTGTACACTGGCTCACAAGGACAGATATAAACCACTTGATAGTGCAAGACCCGTAAAAATACTGCTCCCCAATATATGCAGGAAGGAACCTGCAGCGTGTCAAAACAGTATGTCAGCTCACCGAGAACTCCCAGACCAGTTTTCTTCTTGTCTTTTCATCAATTTTGGAGGGACGTCCAGTTCGTGGTAATGCCACTGTGCCATATTTCTCCACTTGATGACTGTCTTCACTGTGTTCCATGGTATATCTAATGCCTTGGAAATTCTTTTGTACCCTTCTCCTTACTGATAACCGTTTAACTATGAGATTCCCCTGATGCTTTGAAAGCTGTCTGCGGACCATGGCTTTCGCTGTAGGATGCGACTAAGCAAAGGTCAGGAAAGACCTACTAGGACAGCTGAACTTTATTTGGGGTTAATCAGAGGCACTTTAAATGATGGCAAGTGTGTACTGACTCCTATTTAACATTATTTTGAATGTGATTGCCTAATTCTGAACACAGCTAAATAACCAGTTATAAGATGTGCACACTTATGCAATCACATTTTAGTTTTTTTATGTTTACTTCCCGCCTAAAAGATTTCAGTTTGTTTTTCAATTGAGTTGTACAGTTTATAGGTCACATTAAAGGTGGAAAAATTTCTGAAATGATTCATCTTTGTCTAATTTTTTTACATCACAGAAACATGACATTTTAACAGGGGTGTGTAGGCTTTTTATATCCACTGTATTTATTTAGTTTCATACCTTAGCAAATAATGTCATACATCCCAGGATTCTTCTGGAGGGGAGGAGGGCTTTCTCCGCTAAGCACACCTGTATGTGTGCCTGAGCTAAGGACGGGTGGATTCAGGAAGTAAATTCTACATAAATCATCTGCCCTTACTTAAGATGGCCACGGCCAGAAATGAAGCTAGGGGAGTTTTTCCAAAGATATTTCTAAGCAAAATAAAGAATGGCGACATGGATGGGGAAGTTTACTTTTAATATTAAAAATGAATTAAATAGCGCTTTTGGTCTGTGGAGCTCGGATACAGTGTATTTCCACTTTAAAGATGTGGGAAGGAGCGCCAACTTGGCATCCTTAAGGTCTATGAGGTGGAACAAGGTTTGAAGAAGTCCACAAATTCTGGACCAAAATTAGAGTAGTTTCAGACAAGTATGTAGTACATCGCCACATTAACCTTTACCCTGGAAGCTTCTATTGGTATGATTGTGGTTTATTTATATAATCCTCCCCCATGCTCAGAATGTCAACCTCTAAATATAGCCACTAACACCCTACCACAATGGACAATATTGAAAATATAGTAACTTGGTGCTGCGCTAATAATCCTTTGGAATAAAATAGGCAGAAAAATATCACAAAGAGCACATAAATCTCAAAAATAATTATAGAATACACCTGAAAATAATATATAACCGTGGAACCCCCAAAGTACTAGATTTAGAGTGTTACCTACATGCACATTAAATAGGTGACTAATGGATATCAAATTATATATAAAAAGATATGTAGACTAGAATACACATGAATGTGCAAAATCATATGACTGTGAAACCCCCAAACTATAGTTAAGGTGTAACCTAAGTACACCCTAAATCGGTGATTTACAAGTGACAATCCTTAAGTGCCAAATGAGTGATAAAATAAAATCCCACCACTACTGTGCTAAATTGCACAAAT